GACAACACGACACGACAAAATAGGCATCAACCCTATGTTTGGGTGCTGTCGACATCACGACACGACAAAATAGGCATCAACCCTATATTTGGGTGCCTTCGACATCACGACACGACAAAATAGGCATCAACCCTATGTTTGGGTGCCTTGACATCACGACACGACAAAATAGGCATCAAACCTATGTTTGGGGTGCCATCGACAACACGACACAAGAAGGTAGGCATCAACCTATATTTGGGTGCCGTCGACAACACAACATGACAATATAGGCTCAACCCTATATTTGGGTTCAACAACACGACACGACAAAATAGGCATCAACCCTATATTTGGGTTCGACAACACAACACGACAAGATAGGCTCAACCCTATATTTGGGTTCGACAATATGACACGACAAGATAGGCTCAACCCAACTTAGTCTCAAACATACCTCATAATTCAACTAGCATCACAAACAACAAGACAGAATAGATCAACATGTAGCATCACAATAGCCTAAAACAACATGACACAATAGTCTGAAACATACATAATAATTTAAGCACTGCATCATCATCTTCACTCCTCCAAGATTGCCTTCATCATCTTCAGCTTCCTCTTGTTCTCCTCTCCAACCTTCCAAAGGTCATGTAAGTTATATTCAAGTTTTCTCTTCTCCTTTTTGAGCTCAGCAGCAACCTCTTCAGCCACTTCAACCTTCTTTTTCAGATCAAAGTTCTCTTTCTCTAAGTTGATCATATTGTCAGCTGCATCTACAGGTATCTTCTCCTCATCCACATCCATCATTATTTTCCTATAATTCTCCTTGTGCACAGACTTCTGAACAGATTCACAAAAGTCCTTGGTAAGCTGAATGTGCTGGCTGTACTTTTCCTGTACCGTCTTAATTTCTGCTTCTAACTTGGAGATCTTCTCCTCATTAGCTAAATTATCTCTAATTCTGCCTGCCTTGGCTTCCTTATGTAGATCCCAGAGTTTTGTCAATGAATTCTTTAGTGCATAAGGCCATTCATTGTCCACCCATTCCACAACACCACAATTGTTACCCTCCTGCAACCAATTTTTTTAAGTTAACAATACAATAAACAGATAAGTGAATTATAAACAAGTGCATAGTTTTTTGGGTTACTTTAATACAAAAAGCACAACATTGAATTGCATTACCTATATGTAAATCATTTATACATATTTCAATACAATAAAACAACATCTTTCAGTTCTGTAAAGTTAGTATCTACATCATTCCTAAAACAGAGCCATTACATTGCCTATATCTAAATCAATTAATTCTAATCTAAAAAATAGAGCTATGTCTAAGAATTCCAACAAAATAAAGTAACAGAGCTATATTTAGATCTAAATCTTATTTTCTACTGACCTTCTCGGCGCAACCATAAAATCTACGGCCAGTGTTCAGCCCATCGAACACAACAAGCCTCTCCGGAGCATTCCCATGCTTGCAAAGGTGCTTTCCAGTGGCATCAATGCCTGACCAATCCATGTCCTCTATTGTTGCTGGGCGCTAAGTAGAGCAAAGTGGAGAAAATCAAAACAAATGCAATCTCTCATCTGAAAATCAAAAATCGCAAACCCTAACCCTAGCCAGAGAGCAGTGGGGATACTCATATATGGTTCCTCATCGACCTCATGTGCCAGCGGCGACACCGAATCTGAGCTTGCGTCGCCGTCATTCCACGACACCATGGCTGCGGTCGCCGCCAGCGACTGATTTCAGCTGGCAACGATGGCGGCGGGGAAGAGGAACTAGGTCACGAGGGAGAGGAGGGGGAATGGTGGCGCGGGCACGAGCTGGTCCGGTCGAACCAGGTCAAGGGAGCGCCGCTAACGGGCGTCATGCGCGCGCCGTCTGCCCCATGCCACGTGGCCTGACGGCTGGGCCCGGGACGTCAGGTTTTCTGTCAAAACGTGGTCAAGCGACCAGTTAGTGCTCTGTGCAACAAAATTACTGAAAAACGGTGGTTTCTGCAAACTTTTATGAAAACGGTGGTTTTTCGCACCAAGCGACGCAATTGTGGTGGTTTTTTGCAATTTACTTGCCCTCTGCAAAACTTGCACACGTAAGTAGCAAGGCTTGATCCAAGAATTAGTTGATGGCCGATGCTTTTGTCAAGCTGCAACACGTACAGTTACACAAGCTAGCCGTACAAGCAGGCAGATGGATTGATTTTGTCAGGAAGGACCGAAGGAGCCTCGGTAGCAAACCTGTACAACAGCCAGGTGACTGTTCACTTTTGTTGTTCTGTAAATTCTAACGTTCTGTGTTTATTTCCTTTTGGTTACTTCCTGCTTTTCCAGAGGTCTGATAGGTATGTGCCATACATTGATTCTTTGTATAGATGAAAACCTGGAAAATATACTTATCTTTTCAAAATATCTCCTTTAGTTTTAATGTTATGTACTGTTCAATTAACAGAGATTTAGATGATAATTTGCAGCCATGCCAAAGTGAGATTTTGATTCATTATATGTACTCTTTAGAATGCAAATGAGTTTATTTCAGTAATTTAGCTCTGAATTCATCTATTTAAATAAAATAATTCGTACAGGAAGTGTACTTTGTTGTTTATATATATATGCATTACGCACAATGATGCAAAATAACTACGACAGACATACTATATTCATTGGTTTACTTTTTGCCTGCTGCATTGAGATATTTGTAGGCTTCAGGCTGCTCTATGAATAATCAGATTGCTCAACATCCCTTAGTATTCTGGCCTATTAGTATCTACTGACTATTGCTCCACTTGGTTTTCTCCTTACCTTTTACTAGCTTTGTCATCAGTTAAGCAGATGAACTGTACCAGTCTGCGCAGCTTATCCAATAACTGTATACACACGAATATGGAGAATTGTCAACACTTAGAATACAAAGGTTCTGTTCACATATGCTCTCCACGACATGTCAAAGCATATTTGGAAACAATTGTAGCACCAGATGTATATGTGTCACCGAGCGAGTGTTGAGCAGTAGCCTCCCATGGATTAAAATGTGCTCTTAACTTTTTAATCTTTTAGAACAATGATGTGCTATGCTTCCACTTGATTTTCACCTTTTGCAAACATATAGTACACGTTCATAAATAAGGAGCCAATCACTTTTTCCCCGAGGTACAATTTCTGTTTGCAGTTGTTGCATGTATTACGTCCTTCTTAATAAGATGTTCAAATAAACCGGATGTGACTCTAACTTGCATATTGTTCATAGCTCTGAGTGATACAATTTCACTATTCTAACAAGGAAGGGAATCATCTTACAAGGTTATATATATAGTTAAAATAGGTACATGGCAAATGTCTACGAGCTGGACGTAGGAAGGAACTCCCTGCCCAAGTTATGCTATCTAATGCTAAAGCTAACATTTTCTGCTACACCTTCTACGTATTTGCTTCGATTATTATCTGGTATATCACTTTGTATTTTTGTATTTCCCAATAATTATCATGTTCCTTTGCCATTTAATTTAAATATTCCATTTTGGATTACAGAACTGCATGTATGCTTAGCTACATGTTCCTAAATAAAATTGTTCCTATAGCTTCTATTTTATTTCATGCTTGGGTGCACTGAAATATAATTAGGGAGATGGTTCTTTTGTCAATTAATCTGACTATAGGTATATTTCTTTATCTAACTTATATATTCATTGTCGGGTCCTATATGTGGTGTACTACTATTTAAGACAATGGTTTCTAATGTTGTTGCATTGCTAATGTACTTACTTACATTTTGTTTCAGAGATTTTGTTTTGATGGATGATTGATTTTTAATACCTTTTTGTGGATCTTTTACTTGATGATAATAACCAGTCAAACTGATTGAAATTCATAAGTATCTAGAGATAGTAATTGCCTAATATAGTTATTGAAATATTTTTAAAGGCTTTAAATTCATGAGGTTGTATCGGCTATGGACATCTAGATGCTATGGGTGCATAGCTATCTTCTTATCTATGCTGATATAAACTAATGTCTCCTTCGCTTTTCTGCAGACCCTCTTGTTTATATTTGATATATTTCAGATGGTAAACAAATGAACATGTGGAGTCGCCAGATAATTTTCCTATCATGATGATTCTCCTTTTTGTGGCTAATTTTCAGAAGATTTTTGATTTGTAGCTCGTGGAGCTCGGTAAAGATCATAGTCGTCCATTAAAGTTAAGGCTCTTGCAATACATTAGAGAGTGTAGTAGTTGACAAAAAATGAGAGTGATATTCGTTGTCAATATATTTATGTCACTTTGCAACAGTAGATGAGAATGTATTTCCTCTGACATCTTTTAGCATGACACGTAAATACGTTATATATGTAGTATATATCCTAACCTTGATTATTTTTCAGAATTTCATCTGCGATTAACTTATTACTACTCTAAGATAACCTATTACACACATGTTGCCTTACAGTAAGCAAATGTTTGATGATTTCAATACTAATGATTTATAGGTGAATTTCTGAATTTGTATATTTTAAATATGTAAAAAAATTGTACCCAATTCATTGCTAATATCTTGATGTGTTCCGAAAATATACTAGCCCGTGCATCCGCACGGGTTGACGACTAGTTTGGATTAATTAAGAAAATCTAGGGGAGTATATTAAACTATGCACATCTAGTTTCTACCACAGTTTATTAAGAAGCAGATGTACCAGGGAAACATTTGCAAAGCCGAAAGCCTACTGCAGAACCAATGATGCACAATTACAAAATACTACCTCTGTCCTGGTTTATTGGTCCCCATTGTATTCTGTGCCAAATTATGACCATAAATTTAAATAATAAAATGTTTATGCACGTTACCAAAAATTATATCATTGAAAACTATGATATATTTTTTGGTGACATGCACTAACATTTTGTCAGTTAAATGTTTGGTCAAAATTTAGCACAAATTACATAGGAGACAATAAACCAGGACAGAGGTAGTATTAGAGAAAGCTAATTGTGCAGTAGCAGTAGAGAGATCTATACCAGCTGTTTTCCATCAACCATGATAACTTTAAAAGGATGCCAATCTGGATTTCCTATCTCGGCCTCCCATTTTGCACAAAATAAGGCAGCATCATGCTCTGACAATTTCTGTTGGAAAGCCTTTTCAAGTGATTCCTGGTCAAGCATGCCCATCCTTTTAATGCCTATAGATGTTTGGCCAGTTATAAGATCCTGGAAGCCCTGCAGAGAATGCAACAGGTTAGAAGGAGAATGAATTTCAGATGTTATGCAAAATCAATAACAGCAGTGCATCACCATCTCATGCACAGATACTGAATCAATGAGTTAACTTACACGTATCAGTGCCTTCCGAGCAAGCTGCAACTCATCGTTCGCTTTCCTTTCCTTGATAACCAAAGTTTGTGCAAATGTCTGTACTGTCTCACACTGCTCTTTTAGCTCCTGAATTTGCTCAGCCATTTTCTTCTTTGATTCAGAGTCTTCATCACCTTGCATGTGTTCCATTGCTTCCCATTTGCTGTGAAGCTGTTTATTTTCTAGCTCAAGTTGCTGCATGATATTCCTTAACTCCTCTGACATGTGAAATAATATAGCGTCTTCTTTCTCCTTCTGCATTATCAGTACAGACAAACACTCAGATAGCTAAGCTTCTCAAAATCTAAAATTGCAAAAAAAGAAAGAAAAAGATATTACCTCATTTTTATCTTGCCTAATTTGTGAACCAGTTTATCAAGGGATAGGGATAGCTTTTCCTGCTCTAATTCAGCGAGTTGTAGCTCCTTCTGCCTGATTTCCTGCTCTAACTTCAATAATGGAGCGGCTTCTCTCTCCTTTTGCATTGTCAATACGGAATTACGGATAAACACAAACATAAGTAGGCTTCACAACATCTATAATTGGAAAAACAAGTTACCTCATTTTTCTCTTGCTCATAGTTCCTTGCTAGCTCGTCCAGATGCTTGGAAACTGAGTCAAGATCATGCTTCTTGGACTCCAGTTCAGAACTAAGCTTTTGATTATCATTGATAATCCTCTGCGAATACCTGCGAACAAGCTCCTGAATCTTACGAGATTCTGGAAAAGATAGGTTCATTTTGAAAAGGTTATTAAGCACGTGAAAGCTCAAAGTGTGAGCAGAGAAATGCATGCATGTCGATGCGAATAGCGAAAGATAAACACAAACCTTCCTTGGAGAGCTGCTCCCTTTGCTCCGCCATCCTGTCAAAAGAGATAATACGGTTGTTATTGTGAGAAAGGCTGGGAACGTCGTGCCTTTGCCAGGGCCGACGGCTTCGTGTTTATATGCAGGGTCGCGACCTCCCTGATAGCGTACAAGTTGTTGGGATTACAAACTTGGAGAACAAGAGATAGACTAAGACATAGATATCTAGTTTAACAGGAAAATAAACCATAACAGATTCCTAGTCTATCCTACGCTAGGAGCTTCTGTTGTTAATCCCTTGGCGCATAGGATGAGGGCTGTCACGTTGTCTAACACCCTCCCTTAATCACAACTTCGCAAGTTGAGATTACGCTTGAATTATTCAAGATTTCTTGTAGGTAAAGCCTTGGTGAAGCCATCTGCAACCTGGTCCTTTGAATGCACAAAACGAATTTCCAATTGTTTATTAGCAACACGTTCTCTTACAAAATGGAAATCTATCTCAATGTGTTTTGTCCTTGCATGAAAGACCGGATTAGCAGACAAATAGGTGGCACCAAGATTGTCACACCATAAACAAGGAGCCTGAATGTGTTTTATACCAAGTTCTCTTAACATGAACTGAACCCAAATGATCTCTGATGTGGCATTTGCCAGTGCCTTATATTCAGCCTCTGTACTCGACCTTGATACAGTTGCATGTTTCCTTGCACACCATGATATAAGGTTGGGTCCAAAAAATACTGCAAACCCACCAGTAGAGTGTCTGTCATCTAGACAGCCTGCCCAATCTGAGTCAGAAAAAGCACTGACAAGTGTAGATGAGGACTTGCTGAATGTGAGACCAAGATTCATAGTATGCTTTACATATCTCACAATACGCTTTGCAGCGGTCCAATGAACCGTGGTAGGTGCATGAAGAAACTGGCATACTTTGTTAATAGCAAAGGAAATGTCAGGTCTTGTCAGAGTAAGATATTGAAGTGCTCCTACTAAACTTCTGTACCTGGTACTGTCCTCTTGATTCAAAGGATCTCCTTCTGTAAGAGACAATTTTTCTGTGCTAGACAAGGGAGTTGGAACAGGCTTACACCCTTGCAAACCAACCCTTCTTACCAAATCATTGGCATATTTTTCTTGGGAGAGATGAAGACCATCCTCAAGTTTTCTTACTTCAATTCCTAGGAAGAAGTGCAAGTCACCCAAATCCTTGAGAGCAAACTCAGCACTCAGATCCTTCAACAATCCTGCCACTGCCTCATCAGATGAACTAGTGACAATAATATCATCAACATAGATAAGCATAAATATAGATGTATTTGCCTTTCTATAAATAAATAGTGAGGTATCTAATTTTGATGGAACAAATCCAAGTGCTTGTAACTTTTGACTGAGCCGTGAATACCATGCTCGGGGTGCCTGCTTCAGTCCATAAAGAGCTTTATCAAGTTTACAAACATGAAAGGGTAAGTTTTTATCGACGAACCCGGGAGGTTGTTTCATGTATACTTCCTCTTCCAGAACACCATGAAGGAACGCGTTCTGTACATCTAGCTGTCTGAGACTCCAGCCCCTGGAAACAGCAATAGATAGCACAAGACGAATAGTAGCAGCCTTGACAACAGGGCTAAAGGTATCTTCATAGTCGATGCCATATCGCTGTTTGTAACCCTTAGCCACAAGTCTGGCTTTATACCGATCAATGGTTCCATCAGACTTCCTTTTAATTCTGTAGACCCACTTGCAGTCAATTAAATTTTTACCTCGTGGCGGGGGAACCAAATGCCACGTTTTGTTTCTCTGAAGCGCCACATGTTCTTCTTCCATAGCTTTCCTCCATCGTGCATCTCCTAGGGCCTCATCCAGGGTGCGTGGTTCACCTGTGTAGCATGCAAGACCAAACTTGGTTTTATAATTTATAGGTTGAAGCACTTCCTTTTGTAGACGCGTGCGTGGAAGGCGTGGAGAAGAAACGGGCACAGAAGATCCAGGCAAATCTGCATCAGCCGATCCCGAGGCGGATTCTTCTGGTGTTGCATCCGCATCGGTTTCGGTGGGATTTTCTGCGGCTGCTGTAGACGACGGAGCGGGCGCTGGAGGCACAGAAGATCCCGCACCAGCTCCTGTGGCCGCGACAGAATCAGCCTTGGATCGCGCGCCTGGGCCCCTGGCCGAATCAGCGCCGAGTCCCATGCTGATTTGCTGGCGGCGAGCGTAACAGCAAGGCCCGCTCGCGGGCCAGCGGCCCCCGGCCTGCCGCGTGGGGGAGCCAGGTTGGTGCGGGCCTGGCAGAGCGTCTGGGCCGGTCGGTGGCGACCACATGGCGGCTGCAGAGTCGTCGCTGCGGCCCCTGGTAGGTGCGCATGCGGGCGACGCGTTTCCTGGGTTGCCGCCGTCCTGCTGCCGCACGGATCCCGGGGCGGATCCACTGCCAAACTGCCGTTGCACCGATCCCGAGGAGGATATGTCCCCCAGGGTTTGACACATAAAATGTCGTCTGTTTGGATTGATTTATGCATCATTTTCGACGATTTCTTCACTGTTTTCTTCGTCTGCTGCTGTATCTGCATCATCATAGGACTCATGCACAGGGTTATGAGGATTAGTCAACGTATGATCATCACAATTATTTCCCCCCCCCCCATGATCAATACCGAAGAGATGTGATGGAAGAAGGAGAATTTCTTTCCTAAGGAGTGCACCGGCATTGGGATGAAGATCATCAAAAGGAAATTTGATTTCATCAAACACGACATCGCGTGAGATGTAGACACGTCCGGTGGAGACATCGAGGCACTTGACTCCTTTGTGTTGTGCACTGTATCCGATGAAAACACATTGTTTAGATCGATACATGAGCTTGCGGTTGTTGTATGGTCTAAGATTGGGCCAACAAGCGTAGCCAAACACGCGAAGAGAATTGTAGTCTGGCTTGACATGGAGGAGTCTTTTAGTGGGGGTGTCATTATTAATGACACGACTAGGCAACATGTTTATGAGGTGAACTGCCGTAAGGAACGCTTCGTCCCAAAACTTAAGCGGCATGGATGCTCTTGCTAGAAGAGCGAGGCCAACTTCTACGATGTGCCTGTGTTTGCGTTCGGCTGACCCATTCTGTTGATGGGCATGTGGACACGACACATGATGAGATATGCCAAGGTTTTGGAAAAAAGAGTTTAGCTTCTCATATTCGCCTCCCCAATCAGATTGGAGGGCGATGATTTTGGTGTCAAATTTTCGGTCAACGAGAGCTTGGAAGTTAAGAAACACTTGAAACACGTCGGATCTTTTCTTGAGAAGATAGATCCAAGAGAATTTGCTAAAATCATCGATGAAACTCACGTAATATGTATGTCTACCAACAGAAGTAGGGGCAGGTCCCCAAACATCAGAAAAAATGAGTTGTAGTGGTTTGGTAGAAATACTAGTAGAAATTGGATACGGTAACTGATGACTTTTAGCTTTCTTACATGAATCACAAATTGTTTCGACATCACGCTCTCCAACATATGAGAGTTTATTCTTCCTAAGCAAACGTTCAACTAAAGGAAAAGTTGCATGCCCTAATCGATCGTGCCACCGTGTTGAAGATAGCTTGGTGGCACTAAAAACTTGTTTATTGGATCTTCTAATCTCCGGAATCAAAGGGTAGAGCCCACGAACGCATCTACCTCGATAGAGCACTTTCTTCGTTGCCTGATCCTTGATCAAAAAATAAAAGGGGTGAAACTTAGCAATACGATGAACGGAGAGAAGATTTTTGTTAGCACTAGGGACATGCAAAATTTTCCGAAGGTGAATTTTCCTATGAGGGGTATTAACGATTGTGTGACCGATGTGACGAATCTTCATACCTTCTCCACTGGCAGTGTGGATGTGGTCCTTGCCGCGGTACTTCTCACGCATGGTCACCTTCTCGAGTTCACCGGTGATGTGGTTGGTTGCGCCGCTGTCCACATACCAGTTTGTGTCCACTCCATATGAGCCATCAGCAGCCCCGGCCACCTTCTCATCTGAGGATGAGTCACCGTCATCATCATACCTGTACCAGCAGTCTTTCGCTGTGTGGCCAAGTTTACCACAGATCTGGCAACGTGTGGCGTCGGGGCGCTTGTTGGAGGAGTTACGGCGGCCGCCCCTGTTGTTGGTGTAGGAGGGCCGGCCACCATTGCTGCGAGAGTCGCCGCGGTCGCCGCGATCACCGCGGTCGCCACGGGTGTTGTTGTTGTTCCCCTTGCCGCGGGTTGGCCCGCGGTAGCGTGAGCCGCCACCTCGGCCGCGCATGGTGGCGTTGGTGGAGGACTTGAAGCCGCCACCACCTGAGTTTGTGCCCTGGAACAGCGCCACCCTTTGATCGAAGTTGCTCATCTGAGCATACAGTTCATCAAGGGTGACGGGCTGAGTGCGGGCGTCGAGGGCGGAGATGAGGGGTTGATACTCCATGTCGAGGCCG